CTTTCCTAAAAGTGTAAACCGTAACTCTATGAAAGTCACAGCAGAAGAAATATTGGAGGAACAAAATTCAATATGAATAAAATATTTATTAGTCCAGCCAAGAAAGGCTGAATTGTTGGCTGAATTGTAGACATGTTCACAGAGCTTGGAGAAAAGCAGGCAGCCGGAGGAAGACTCAGTGAAGCCAGGAATTACATCAAACTTTTTAACATTGTGAAAGATGGGCTGGAAAAAATACCAAGGGGCTGAGCGAAGAGATTCAATGTGAACTGAAGGTACAAAGTGAAACTCTAACAGCAGACATGCAAATAAATTCATAAAAGCTAGAGGGGAAGTTAAGTGTTTCTATCTAGTTAGTACATCAATCAGTCAATCAACACATTTATTTAGCACTTACTATATTCCCAGAACTGTATGAAGCGCTGTGTATACAAAGACAAAACAAAAACAGTCCTTACCCTCAAGGATCTTACAGGGAGAGACAAAACACACACACACACACACACACACACATTTTATATATATATATATATGCATATATGCATAGGTGTCTACATGCACAAATGCATATGTATATACACATATATACATGTATGCATATATACATGTGTGTGGTTGCAGGTATGTATCAGTGCAGCGGATAGAGCACCAGGCCTGGAGGCAGGAAGACCTGAATTCAAATCCAGCCTCAGACACCTATTATCTGTGTGACCCTGGGCAAGTCACTTAACCCTCTTTGCTGAGAAGGAAATGGAAGACCACTCCAGTATCTTTGCCAAGAAAACCCCAAAGGGGTCACAGTCAGGTATGATTGAAAATAACTGAACAATCAAATTGCCCCCTTACAGTAAGTGATAAGACATCTGATACCTTTATCAGGTGAGCATCTAGCTCAGTTGCTCACTAGGCATGAACAAGTCCTAGACGTGACAGGAATTTTGTTGGTATTGGATGAAGGATTTGGTCCCATCCTTTAGTGAGCTGGTGTGGAACAAAGGCTCTGAGTGCTTACAGCCTCCTGGTGGAAGTCTCTAGCCCAGCCCCGGAGAAAGGATCCCTTGGCAAGGGGAGATCAACTTGGCCTCCATCTCAGCCTCCATCTTCCCATCTACGGTCAGAGAAGGCTCCCATGAACTGTGAAGGACCAGAGGATTGGGACCTTCCCTCAGTGCCCCAGTAGCGTCCACGGGACAGCGGCAGCTACATTTGGGAGCTGAGGACAGACAGACTAACTGGTGGGCAAAGGCATGTTCGAGGCTCTGAAGAAGCTTAGCAGAAAAGAGAAAGACCATGAGGACTCCAGCAAAATACCCAGAGAGTTGTGCCACGCCTTTGACATATGTGCTCCCAAAGCTTGAGCCCACTTTCCCCTAGACGCTGCATGTGCTCGGGGGAGAGTATGTCACAGACTTTTAGACAAGATGTTTTGTACAAACTATGCTTCCATGTAAACACCTGTT